CTCATTGTCCTAGGTAGTTGGACTTCCTTCTAGGCAGCCCTGGCCCAAGAGCACAGAAGTGGCTACTGCAAGGCCCTCTTATGACTTTGGGCTGGAAATGGCAGAGCATTACTTCCATTGAGTCCTTTGGTTAAAGCAAGCACAGGTCCTGTGCAAATCCAAGGAGGGGACCACGCAGAAGGCCAGTGTGGCTCACTGGAGGCCGCCAACAAAACCACCTACCAGGTTCTTGCTCATTCACTCTTCCTCCAACCTGTCACACACACTTCTGCCGCTGGGCCTTTCCACTTATGGGTTCCCTCTGCCTGGGGTGCTTTTCCCCAAATATCCAGGGGTGTCACCCCTTCCCTTCATTCATCTAAATGTCACCTTTAAAGAGAGACCGTACCTGACCCCACCTTATCAAAAACAGTTCACCCCTCCTCATATCACCTCTGTCCCCTGACACCACTCTGTTCTTTTTTTTTTTTTTTCATTGCACGTGTCACTTCCTGGCTTAATATTTACTGCCTGTTTATTATTTGATCTCCCTCTCCCCCATCTCAGAATATAACTGCCACGTGAGTAGGGCACTTGCCTTGTTCACTGCAGTTCCCTTAACTCCAGATAGGACACATGGTAGATAGAGCTGTTGAATGAATATTTGAGATGAGGAAACAGAGCTTAAAAAGGTTAAGTAACTTTCCCAAAGACACAGAGCTAATAAGTGACAGAGTGGGGATCCACACGCAAACATTTAGCTTCGATCAAGAAGCTGTAGAAGCTTTACTGCATAGGGGTAATTGCTTAGGTAATTATGGCTGCCTGCCCCCTCTTCTCCCTGAGTCCTGTCTGTCTCTACTCAGACTGATCTTCCTGCAACTAAAATCCGATGAGGGGTAAAACCCATCTTGAAGGTAGCTTCCCTCCCCTTCAGCAGAAAGCCCACCTGCCTTAGCCTGCTGCCCAAGACACAGCAAAGCTTGACTTCTAGCACTGGCCTGATATAGAAATAAGGGTTTTGGAGTCAACCCTGGATTTGTCTGCCGTGCGCCCAATCACCCGCTCTCTAAATGCAAGTAAATTGGGAATGTCATTCATTCTAAGTGTCTGTGGTTAACAGGGCGGTCAAGCTGGCTGAAGGCTGGTCTGGAGTGGCCTCAGCTAGGGCGGTCATCCCACATAGTCTCATCTTCCGGCAGGCTCGCTCAGGCTTGTTCTGGCTGGGCTCCAGAGAGAAGGAGAAGTCTACAAGACCTCTTAAGGCTGGCCTTAGAACTGGCCCAGCATCACTTCTGCTCTGTTCTGTTGGTCCAAGCAGATCAGGAGGCCAGTCCGGATCCCATGAATACGTGTGAAGCTCTTAACACCATGCCTGACACACAGGAAATGCTATTATTGTTGTTGATGTTGTTGCCATGGATTTGCATAGTATACTTTACGCTTTTTAGAGTTTTATTGAATACATTACTATACCCTACACTGTGGGAGGAAATTGGAGCAAATATTACTAGCCCCATTTGACAAATATTTAAAATATTTAAAACTTTGGGCAAGTTTAGATAACTTGCCTAAGGCCATGCTTTTAGCTAGTGGCTGCAGCCAATCACTGGAAATCAGATGTTGTGCAATTTAAAGCATGTCTGCAAACGCATCTGCAGAAAGTGAGCCCATCTGCAGATGATTTCATTGTCCTGAGCACCACTTTGGTAAATATAATAAGGTCAAAATGCTGTCCTCACAGACCCAGGCTAGTAACTATCTGCAAGGGTCAGTGATGATGCCCAAGATCCAAGTTTCCTGCTTGGCTTCCAAACTCACTGGAGTGAATGATGGCTTTTTCTTTTCTTTTACAAAGAGAACCTCTCTCTAGATGCCAGTTGCTTCTCCTCTCCACCTGTGAACTTCCTCCAAGAATTGCCAAGCTACCGGTCCATTGCACGCAGGAGAACGACTGTCCATTCCCGGGACAAGCAAAGCGGCACTTTGCTAAAGTCAACCGACTCTTACAGCTCCCAGCTGGAGGACAGAATCGCTGAAAACCTCAGCAGCCAATCCCTTCGAAATTATGCACTGAACATCTCTGAGAAGCGGAGACTAAGGTTTGTTCACTAGCCACCTGGAACCTGCATTGTGTATGTTATGGCCTAGAGGTACGTTTTGTGCATGAAATGCTTTTCGTGAAGAGCTCATATAATTAAAATTTTATTCCTTAGGGTAAGTTAAGCCTCTTTGACAAAGATACCTGAACTTTCTTCTCCACTCCTACTGCTTCACTTGACTAGCCTTAAAAAAAAAAAAGAAAAAAAGATACCCAAACATACTCAACATGTTAGAAGTTTCTTTCTAGGCCGGGCGCGGTGGCTCATACCTGTAATTCCAGCACTTTGGGAGGTCGAGGCAGGCGGATCACGAGGTCAGGAGATGAAGACCATCCTGGCTAACATGGTGAAACCCCGTCTCTACTAAAAATACAAAAAATTAGCCGGGCGTGGTGGTGGGCGCCTGTAGTCCCAGCTACTCGGGAGGCTGAGGCAGGAGAATGGCATGAACCCAGGAGGCGGAGCTTGCTGTGAGCTGAGATTGCGCCACTGCACTCCAGCCTGGGGAACAGAGCGAGACTCTGTTTCAAAAAAAAAAAAGGAGTTTCCTTCCTTTCTTCCTTCCTTCCTTCCTTCTTTCCTTCCTTCTTTCTTTTCTTTTCTTTTCTTTCTTTTTTGAGACAGAGTTTCACTCTTGTTGTCCAGGCTGGAGAGAAATGGCACGATCTTTGCAACCTCTGCCTCCCAGGTTCAAGCGATTCTCCTGCCTCAGACTCCCGAGTAGCTGGGATTACAGGCATGTGCCACGATGCCTAGCTAATTTTGTATTTTCAGTAGAGACAGGGTTTCACCATGTTGGCCAGGCTGGTCTCGAACTCCTGACCTCAGGTGATCCGCTTTCCTTGGCCTCCCAAAGTGCTGGAATCACAGGCATGAGCCACTGTGCCTGGCAGAAGTTTATTTCTTGCTGGCATACAGTACTAGGAACTGGGGGACTTTGCAGCCATTCAGGGATCCAGGCTCTTTCCATCTTGTGGCTCTGCATACCCCTGAAGCCTCATTTTTGTCTGCAACCAATCAGGGCAAAAAGAAAGAGTTTGGAATATGAGTATACCAGTTAGCTACGCAGCAGAATAAATCACCCCACAACTGAGTAGCCTAAAACAATAGTTTCTCAAGTCTACCAGTCAGCTGGACAAATCCTTCTAGTTTCGGTTGGGCTGAATCTTTATCCATAGTCAGCTGTGGTTGGGGAGGTGGCTCTGCTGATCTAGGCTGGGGATCAGCTGGCTATAAGCTGGTCTAGGGTGGCTTCAGCTGGGATGATCACATGGTATCATCATGATAGCTCAGGTTTGTTCGCATGGCAACAGCTGGAGCCCAAGAGAGGATCAGAAGCCTGCAAAACCTCCTGAGACTAGGCTTAGAACCAGCTCAGCTTCCCTCCTACTGCAGTCTGTGGTCTAACCAGATCACAGTCCAGATTCAATTTGGTGGAAAGAGATTCCTCCTGCTAATGGGAAGAGCTGTAAAGTCACATGGCCATGGGGCATTCACACATTCATTGAGTCATTGGGAGTTTTGGGAGTGGGTTAAGAGCCAAGTCTGAAAGGTGCACATACCACTTTTCTTTACATTTCTACCAGAGAGAATTTAGCCACATGGTCATACCTAACTGCTGAGAAAGCTGGGAAGTGTCTCCAGCTAGTGCCAGAGAAGGGGAGAATGGATTCGGGTGGTAGCTTGCCATCTCCCCCATTCTTGAAGAATTTAAAACATAATTTTCCGATTGACCTGGTGTAATGACAGAGGTGGGTATTTCTGCTTAACACTCTAATTGCTTCCCCCACAGGGTCAGTAGCATAAATTCATTAGAAGGGTTGGGCAAAGTGGCTCATATCTGTAATTACAGCACTTTAAGAGGCTGAGGCAGGAGGACTGCTTGAGACCAGGAGTTCCAGACCAGCCTGGGCAGCATAGCAAGATCCTGTCTTTACAAAATAAATAGATAAATAAATAAATAAATATTAGAAAAATTAGTTGGGTGTGGTGATGTGTGCCTATAGTCCCAGCTACTCAGAAGGCTGAGGCAGGTGTATCACTCAAGCCCAGGAATAGGAGGGCTGCAGTAAGCTATGATCATGCCATTACCCTCCAGCCTGGGTGACAGAATAAGACCCTGTCTCTACGAAAACAACGGCAAAACAAAATAACACATTGGGCTGGCTGCAGTGGCTCATGCCTGTAATCCCAGCACTTTGGGAGGCCGAGGCAGGTGGATCACAAGGTCAGGAGTTCAAGACCAGCTTGGCCAATATGGTGAAACCCCGTCTCTACTAAAAATACAAAAATTAGCTGGGCATGGTGGCGGGCGCCTGTAGTCCCAGCTACTTGGAAGGCTGAGGCAGGAGAATTGCCCAAACCCGGGAGGCAGAGGTTGCAGTGAGCCAAGATCGTGCCACTATACTCCAGTCTGGGCAACAAAGCGAGACTGTGTCTCAAAAAAAACAAAACAAAACAAAAATACAAAATAACACATTGGATGATGCACATTGGATGATACACTGTGCCTTGTAGGTTTAAGAATATGTTATCTCTGGTTTTATTTTTAATTTGGGTGGTCTTGTATTCTCAAAAAATATTGAGACTTTATAAATGTATTTCAGCTGGCACAGTGGCTCATACCTGTAGTCCCAGCACTTCAGGAGGCTGAGGCAGGTGGATCGCTTGAGCTCAGAAATTTGCGACCAGCCTGGACAACGTGGTGAAACCTGTTTCTACTAAAATTACAGAATTTAGCTAGGCATGGTGGCGTACTCCTGTAGTAGTAGTCTCAGCTACTCAGGAGGCTGAGGTGGGAGGATCACCTGAGCCCAGGAGATTGAGGCTGCAGCGACCCAAGATGGCGCCACTGCACTTCAGTCTGGGTGACAAAGCGAGACACTGTCTCAGAAAAAAAAAAAAAAAAAAAAAAATTTGGTGCTCCCTTTGGCAGCACATATACTAAAATTGGAATGATACAGAGAAAATTAGCATGGCCTCTGAGCAAGAATGACACACAAATTCATGAAGTATTACATATCTAAATGTATTTTAAAATCAAATAAATAAATAAATAAATAATGTATTTTATTTTCCACTCTTTCAGATTCACAGATTTTGAATTCTTATAAACTACTACTGCTCTGTACCCAAACTCTGCCACACCTAAGAGAGAGACATATTTTCTTCCATCAAGGGACTTCCAGGTTCACTGGAAAAATGAAACTAACAGACTCATGAGAGCAGGGCCCATATCTATCTGGTTTACCAGTGAATCCCTAGAAAGTGGCAAAGAAGGCTGGGTGCAGTGGCTCATGCCTGTAATCCCAGCATTTTGAGAGGCCAAGGCTGGTGGATCACCTGAGGACAGGAGTTTGAGACCAGCCTGGCCAGCATGGTGAAACCTCATCTCTACTAAAAATACAAAAATTAGCCAGGCGTGGTGGCAGGTGCCTGTTATCCCAGCTACTCGTGAGGCTGGGGCAGGAGAATCGCTTGAATCCAGGAGGTGGAGGTTGCTGTGAGCCGAGATTGTGCCACTGCATTCCAACCTGGGCGACGGAGTGACACTCCGTCTCAAAAAAAAAAAAATAATAATAATATAATAAAGTGGCAAAGAAAAGGACACGGGAAAGATCATTCTTTTTTTTTGAGACAGAGTCTTGCTCTGTCGCCCAGGCTGGAGTGCAATGGCACGATCTCTACTCACCGCATCCTCCCCCTCCCAGGTTCAAGCAATTCTCCTGCCTCAGCCTCCTGAGTAGCTGGGATTACGGGCACCCACCAGCATTCCTGGCTAATTTTTGTATTTTTAATAGAGACAGGATTTCACCATGTTAGTCAGACTGGTCTCGAACTCCTCAAACTCCTGATCCACCCGCCTTGGCCTCCCAAAGTGCTGGGATTACAGCTTTAGCCACTGCACCTGGCCAGGGAGGATAATTCTAATTGCTAACAGTTGTTATTCTAAGCTCTTTATTTCCTTTAATCCCCACTCCACCCTCTGAGGCAAGGTTTTCAAATTATTATTATTATTTTATTTATTTTTAGACGGAGTTTCGCTCTTGTTGCCCGTGCTGGAGTGCAATGGTGCGATCTCGGCTCACCGCAACCTCTGCCTCCCGGGTTCAAGTGATTCTCCTGCCTCAGCCTCCCAAGTAGCTGGGATTACAGGTATGCGCCACCACGCCTGGCTAATTTTGTATTTTTAGCAGAGACAGGGTTTCTCCATGTTGGTCAGGCTGGTCTCAAACTACCGACCTCAGGTGATCCGCCCGCCTCGACCTTCCAAAGAACTGGGATTACCGGCATGAGCCACCACGCCCGGGCTATTTTATTTATTTATTTTTGAGACGTGTCTCACTCTGTCGCCCAGGCTGGAATGCAGTGGCGCCATCTTGCCTCACTGCAACCTCCGCCTCCTGGGTTCCAGCGATTGTCCCACCTCAGCCTCCTGAGTAGCTGGGATTACAGGCGCCTGCCACCATGCCTGGCTAATTTTTTGTATTTTTAGTAGAGACAGGGTTTTACTATGTTGGCTAGGCTGGTCTGGAATTCCTAGCCTCAGGTGATCCATCTGCCTCGGCCTCCCAAAGTGCTGGGATTACAAGCACGAGCCATCGCGCCCAGCCAAGGGAGGGTTTTTTAACCTTAGCATTCTTGCTTTTTTTTTTTTTTTTTGAGACAGAGTCTTGATCTGTCGCCCTGGTTGCAGAGCAGTGGTGCCATCTCGGCTCACTGCAAGCTCTGCCTCCCAGGTTCACGCCATTCTCCTGCCTCAGCCTCCCAAGTAGCTGGGACTACAGGTGCCTGCCACCACACCTGGCTAATTTTTGTATTTTTTTTTTTTTTTTTAGTAGAGACAGTGTTTCACCGTGTTAGCCAGGGTGGTCTCGATCTTATGACCTCGTGATCTGCCCACCTCGGCCTCCCAAAGTGCTGGGATTACAGGCGTGAGCCACCACGCCCAGCCACACTCTTGCTTATTGACATTTAGGGCCAGATCGTTCTCTGTTGTGGAGGGCTGTCTGTGGATTGGAGGATGTTTAGTAGCATCCCTGGCCTCTACCCACTAGATACCAGAAGCATGTCCCCCTCCCCCAAGTTGTGACAGTCAAAGATGTCCCCAGACCATTGCTTGATGTTCTTTGGGAGGTGTGCAAAATTGCCCTCACTTGAGAACCACTGATCTAAGGGTGGGTACTTTACTAACTCCAACGTACAGATAAGGAAACTGACGCACAACACAGGGAGGCTTGTTTGGATGGGAGGTTCAAGTCCTTTTCTTTAATAGGAGCTCCCTGTCTGATGGAGGAGGACAGACTGGTGGGAGGGTGGAGGCATGTGCCATGTGCCATGGATGGTTGGCAAATTCCTCATGTTTCCTCTCTCACCTTCAGGCCCCAGCACTTTCTTTTTCCCCTGCTCTCCTTACTCCCTCCTCTAACACCAACTTGGACTTGGGGCATCTCCTCCAGGTTTCCAGAGCCCTGACCACATCCCCTTTTGTAGCACTTCTCCCAGGGAGCTGTCGTTGTTGAATGTCAACATGTTTGCTTTCCTTCTAGACTCAGGATCAGCTTTGTGGGCCGTGCAGTCTCTGTTGCAACTACTCAGCTCTGCTGTTGCAGATGGTTCATAAATGAATTGGCATGGCTGTGTTCTAGGAATATTTATGGACACTGAAATTTGAATTTCATGTGATTTTCATGTGTCACAAAATACTATTTTTCTTTTTTCTTTTATTTTTATTATTTTTATTTAAAATAATTTTGTTTTGATACAGAGTCTTGCTCTGTCACCCAGGCTGGAGTGCAATGGCATGATCTTGGCTCACTGAAACCTCCACCTTCTGGGTTCAAGCGATTCTCCTGCCTCAGCCTCCCTAGTAGCTGGGATTACAGGTGCCCGCCACCACGCTTGGCTAATTTTGGTATTTTCAGTAGAGACGGGGTTTTGCCATGTTGGCCAGGCTGGTCTTGAACTCCTGGCTTCATGTGATCTGAGAACCGCAGGGCGCATGGTTACTCTGTTTGACATTTTGACGGACTGCCAAACTTTTTTCCATAGCGGCGGCAGCATTTTATATTCCTTGCAGCAATGTATGAGAGCTCACATATTTCTCTGTCCTTTCAGCTGGGGTTTTATGAGATGCTGAGTCTTTTTCTTTTCTTTTTTTTTCGAGACGAAGTTTCGTTCTTGTTGCCCAGGCTGAAGTGCAATGGCACAATCTTGGCTCACTGCAAACTCCGCCTCCCAGGTTCAAGCGATTCTCCTGCCTCAGCTTCCTGGAGTAGCCAGGATTACAGGCATTTGCCACCATGCCTGGCTAATTTTGTATTTTTAGTAGAGATGGCGTTTCACCATGTTGGCCAGGCTGGCCTCGAACTCCTGACCTCAGGTGATCCACCTGCCTCGGCCTCCCAAAGTGCTGGGATTACAGGCGTGGAGCACCGCGCTGGGCTGGGATGCTGAGTCTTGATGCTGCTGCTGTTGTGATTGTGATGCTTATGTTTTCCATGCAGGGACATTCAGGAGACACAAATGAAGTATCTCTCCGAGTGGGACCAGTGGAAGCGGTACAGCAGCAAGTCTTGGAAGAGGTTCCTGGAGAAGGCTCGAGAGATGACGACCCACCTGGAGCTGTGGCGGGAGGACATTCGCAGCATAGAAGGTATCCCGCCCCGGCCTCTGTGCAGGCTCCTCCGCAGAAGTCTCTGTGTCCGGGGAGCAAGTACAGCTTCGTTTCCACTAGCGTCTAGCTGAAATTGAGCATTTCCTTCTATGATGAATGTGAACAACAAACCACCGCAAGGTTTAGCAGAACCTGTGTCTTTGTCAGGAAAAAATCGTGGATATTTTCCTGTCCCTTCCAGTTGTATTTATCTTGGAATACCGCTAATGCCCATGACTGCTTGGAAATTTCAGTCATTATTAGACTTGCCGCTAGATCTTGTTATTTAATGTGCTAGTGAAGACCAGGCACAGTGGCTCACTCCTGTAATCCCAACCCTTTGGGAGGCCAAGATGGGTGGATCACGAGATCAGGAGTTCAAGACCAGCCTGGCCAACATGGTGAAATCCCATCTCTACTAAAACTACAAAAAATCAGATGGGCATGGTAGTGCATGCCTGTAACCCCAGCTATTTGGGAGGCTGAGGCATGAGAATCACTTGAACCCAGGAGGTGGACGTTGCAGTGAGCCGAGACCGCACTATTGCACTCCAGCCTGGGTGACAGAGCGAGACTCTGTCTCAAAAGAAGTGCCAGTAAAGGTGCTCACTGATGCTCACGTAGGTCATTCTATCACACATATTTTTTTAATAAGATGATAACTGTATATCTGTTTTTATCTTATGCATTTAAATTAAATGCATAAAATAGTATTATTTAAAAATAATATTAAACTGGCCAGGCGCAGTGGCTCACGCCTGTAATCCCAACACTGTGGGATGCTGAGGCGGACGGATCACGAGGCCAGGAGATCGAGACCATCCTGGCCAACACAGTGAAACCCCGTGTCTACTAAAAATACAAAGAATTAGCTGGGCATGGTGGTGGGCACCTGTAGTCCCAGCTACTCAGGAGGCTGAGGCCAGAGAATGTCGTGAACCCGGAAGGTGGAGCTTGCAGTGATCCAAGATGGCGCCACTGCACTCCAGCCTGGGCGACAGGGCGAGACTCTGTCTCAAAATAAAATAAAATAAAATAAATTATTTAATAATTTAATTTAAATTAAATGCATAAATAGTATTATTTTAAAATAATATTAAATTATAATATATTAATATTAGTAGACTATTATTTTATGCATTAAAATATTATGCATAAATATATTATTTTTAAAATGTTATACTTCTAAATTCAATGCATAAAATAAAAACAGACATACAGTTATCGTATTATTAAAAACATTATCCCAGCCAGGCCGTGGTTCATGCCTGTAATCCTAGCATTTTGGGAGACTGAGGCAGGAAGATCATCTGGGCCCAGGAGTTTGAGACCAGCCTGGGTAACAAAGTAAGACCTTGCCTCTAGAACAAA